AGCCAAAGGAAAAGTTAATGTTCCAGAGATTTTCAGCAGAGTTGCAACAATATAGAACTGGAAATAAATGTTAATAGGGGAATAATTAAAGTATAGCAATTAATATAATAAAGGGAAAAGTATTAGGCACATATTAAAAATCCATGTTTAAAAAATATTTATTGAGGGTCAATGGGGGAAAAAGGGATATATGTAATACTTTCAATAATAAAGAATTATTTTTTAAAAACATATTAAAACAGGGAAGTGCTCCCTGTACATTTTTAAAGCAGAATACAAAACTCATGTAGAATATAATTCAAAACTCATGTAAAGTATGATCCAAATTTAATGTTTTAAAACTAAATGTGGATATGTACATAAGTATACATATATATATGAAAAGACTAGGAAAAAGTAAACCAAAATGTTGACAAGTTATTTCTGAGCACTGGCACTTTTATTTTCTACTCTATTACTGAAATATCATTCAATAATACATATATATTATGAAACTTAAAAGTACCATACCCGCTAACTCCAACATTCCAGTCTTAGGAATACCAGTATATCTTGGGAATAATCAGAAATTCATATTAAGATTTATAGTCAGAATATCCATTGGCACTTTATCATATAGAAAATGATAAACACACAAGCGAATCAACAACTAAAACAAAGCCAAGCTTAATATTCCTGAATGGGAAAATAATCAAATACTAAGGATCATACAATAGATTTACATTAAGATTATTTACTATATTATGGGGGTTTTTAATAGCAGAGGGAAAATTCTGATGCTATAATGTTAAGTTTTAAAGGGATTACAGAATTATACAAAGAATATGCTCAGCTACATTTAAAAAAATGTTTTTACTGATTTTAGAGAGAGAGGGAGAGAGAGAAACATTAATCAGTCACCTCCTACAGGTACTCTGACCAGGGCAAACCAACTGAGCCACACTGGCCAAGGCACTCAGCTACATTTTTTAAAGCATGGGGGAAAAAATACTGGAAGTAAATACTCCAAAATATTAACCGTATTACCCCTGAATGTTTTTTCCTTCCCTTCATGCTTTTCTACACCTTCCATGTATTCAAATATGTTATTGTATTTTTTTTTAAAGAAAAAGAATCATAAAAAAAAACCCAGAGGTGGGTAGATAATCCTATGACAGAAACTGTGTCAAGAGTGTCAGTGTGGCCGAAACCGGTTTGGCTCAGTGGATAGAGCGTCGACCTGCGGACTGAGGGGTACCAGGTTCGATTCCGGTCAAGGGCATGTGCATTGGTTGCGGGCACATCCCCGGTGGGGGATGTGCGGGAGGCAGCTGATTGATGTTTCTCTCTCATCGATGTTTCTAGCTCTCTATCTCTCTCCCTTCCTCTCTGTAAAAAAATCAATAAAATATATTAAAAAAAGAGTGTCAGCGTGAGAGTCGAGCATATATCCCCAGAAAGAAAGCTATTTATCCAGGTAACTTCCACAGTAGGACATTCTGCATTGGCTTAAGAGAAAGGCTGGCTCCTGGGAAGAAAGACGCAGTGAAGGTTCAGAAATAAAGTCAAGTCAGTTAAGAATCATTTCCTGGGCAACGAGTGATGTTGCAAACAAGGAAGGAATCATTTCCAAAGAAAAGAAATAAGACATTTCAAGAGAGTAAGAAGCTAACCTTTGGGAATCCAATCAGCCACAATCTTTTCAACTCCAAGAAGTCTTACAGATACAGAGGTCAATGGTGGTGGGAAATGAACTCTAAAACAAAAGGAAACTTCCTCATCCCCAATCCCTAATCTGAAGTTTCAGGATTCAGAATTTTCCCAGATTTAGAAAGGATGACTTTCTATTATATACTACCCCAAAACCTAACAGGGTTTGGAATTGTACCTTTAATCAAGCACATTGATGTTCCTGATGCTAAATATATAGATACAAAAGTCAAATGGGAAAAATCCTATCTAATAAAAGCCTAATATGGAAATCAACCGAACGGCAGAACAACCAGTTGCTATTACACACGCCGCCCACCATGGGGCAGGCACTCAATGCAGGAGCTGCCCCCAGCCCACAGTCCCTAGCCCAGCCAAGGCAGGTGCCAGCAGGGGCCCCCTGATCGCCCCGCCAGTCACCCCACAGATTGGCCCTGATTGCTGGCCATGCCTAGGAACCCTACCTGTGCATGAATTTCGTGTACCAGGCCTCTACTAAGGATGATAAATAGCTTGACTTGTAGGGTGAAGTCAAGTTCGGCCATTGGATGACTAGGTTGAATCTTGTAGCCAAATGAGTTATGAAAACATTTCTGGTTTTCAGTGCTTTTTCTGATTTTAGAATTTGTGTAGACAATCAAAGGCAAATCTGTAAGCCAAGTCATTACCCAACAAAATCATGTTTCTGTAATTCTCCAGCATCACGTCTCTGTAGAGGTCCTTTTGAGCCCAATCAAGTTTGTTCCACTCTTCTCTGGTGAAGTACATAGCCACATCCTCAAAGGACAGCAACTCCTAAAAACACAGTGACTAATTATAGCTTCAATTCTGACAATAACTTTGTGAGCTGCTATTATTCTATGAGTCATGTTTGATTAGATAAAGTGATTTGGCCAAGTTCATTCAATTAGTAAGTAGATTCACGGATCAACTTCAGTCTTCCCAGACATGTCTTTTTTCTATGCGAGAGCCAAAAGCTTTTTCTTTAGAGGGCCAGATAAATATTTTAGGCTTCTCAGGCCCTTTGGTCTCTGCTGCAATTATTCAGCTCTGCTTCTGTAGCACAAAAGAAAGCCATGGAAATCAAATGGGCATCACTGTGTTCCAATAAAACTTTACTATCAGGTCCAGGTCAACTTGCCCAAATCCCGCTCTATACATACATAACCCTTTGCAAATGACTTTTCTGCCAGGGCTCGGACAGGGAAGAGATAGCACACTCAAATGAGGTCACTGAGGATAGCTTAGTGTGCAGACTAGTCACAAAAGAATGGACAGGCTTCCAATAGGGCCTGCTGAAGCATGCAGGGGCTGGCTCTCCTGGGGAACCATTACCGACTAAGTCTGATGGAGAAAGCAGGGAAGGGGTTATTAGAATATAGAAAGTTGTTGAGAGGAAACAATGCTGGAACCAGGGTCTTAGAGAAATGCAGCCCAGCAAGGAGGAAGCTGTAGGAATAAGCATCTGACATTAATTTCCTTCAAGCCTCTGGTCCCCTGACTCCCACCATTCCATTGCCAAAAACCAACCAGAAGCCAGAGGGCGAGGGAGCCCACTGATGATAAATATAAAGGTCAGCCTCCCAGGGCATACACCAAAGTCAGGAAGAGTACAGAGTATATCCAGGGGGATCAGGTGTTCAGCACAATGTACGCAGTCGAAGTTTCCATTTGCAAATGTGTGTTCACCTCAGATGGGCCAAGAACAGAAGGTATCTCATTCATATGCTATTGGAGCTCTTGGAGCAAAGGCCTGGTTGTCTGCTCACTACACTCCTTTCTCTTGTAAGACATTGACGGTGTGGGTGCAGGGGGTATTTGTGCAGAACAAAGGTGCTCAGTGACAGACAATACCCACCCCATCCTGAGAAGCTTCTCACACCTCTCGTCTGGATTCAGACACCACAATCTCCCAAATTCCATGGCCTTTCTTTCCTCCCCACTGACCCTGACTTCCTCAAGCTCTCTCTCACCACCATCCTAAATGTCCCTCCTTTCATTGCCTCCTGAACCTGACCAACTCAGCTATCTGCATTCTCTATATCTACATGAAGGTTATTAGGTGCCGGGGGATGAGATGGTTTAATCTCCCATGAGTTATCTCTGTACATTTGGTGTTACAGTTGAGCCCTTAAAGATTCTCAAAAACTCTTGCTCTTATATTCCCCACAGTGGTACTCTACATATTTATCACTCCAGTTCCTTTAAGAAACGTTTACTGAGCACCAATAAGTTGTTAACCCTCATGCTTTGGCCAGTAATAAATATAAGGTTACAACTCAGGCTATGAACTGCTCAACTCTATATAATAAAAGTGGTGTGATGGGGCCCCCTCGAGTTGCTAAGTGCACAACTGAACAACCCTATAGCAGCCCTGGTCCCTGCTTCAGGAAGTGAACGATCCAGTGGAGGAAGATGGAGAAACCAACATGGGAATGATCTAGTGGTCAACACCCCCGGGGGTAATTAGAGAGGGCTATGAGGAGAGGGAGCGCCCCTTCCCTTTCAGAATGCACTGCCCGTTCTGTCCCAGAAAACAGCCCATGGGGCACGTGCTCTTTAACTCCTCTCGTATTCCCCACCGCCTCCCCTGGACATTACCTACATTTTTACTCATTCCTCTTCTCCCTCAGAGGAAGAGGTTGTCCTTCTAGTAATCTCTCCTCCTCTGCCATTGATTCCATTCTCTCCTGTCTCTGCCAGGGTCTGAATCCAATGTTGATGATGAGACTTCCTTTTCTTTCTCTTTCCCCTTGTGATATTGTGATTTACAGTTAAATATATATATATTTGGTCTTCATCCCTGTTTCTTGCACAGAGTTCCTAAAACCCCTGGAATTTCCTAAAGGAATAACACCAAATGAGCATCTTTTAATATTTGGTCTTTTGTCCTAGGTTTCTCAGATAGGTCCAGAGCCATAAAGGTAAAAGGCATGTCTTGTTACTCATAACTTTCTTCCACCACACCTGAGTTTATGTTAATGAGATGAACTTTAGAAAGTCCCTAAAAATGGCAGCACAACCACAGGATTAGAGGGTTAGAACTTTCAGACCTCTTCCGCCCCCCAACTTAGAGAAGGGGAGAGGAGCTGAAGGTTAACCTATGATCAAAGGCCAATTAATTAATCAATCAAACCTATGTAATGAGCCTCCATTGAAAACCCAATATGGGTTAGTGAAGTCCTGGAGATACTGGGAGGGTGGTATGCCTGGACACAGTATGGAAGTTCTTCACCTCTTCCCACATACCTTGCCCTATACTCTCTTCCATCTGACTGTTCCTGAGTTATATTCTTTTATAATAGACCAGGAATCTAAGTAAACTGTTTTCCTGAGTCTTTGAGCCACTGCAGCATATTAATGGCATCTGAGGAAGGGGTCATGGGAACCTCCAATTTATAGCTAGTCATTCAGAAGCACAGTGACAAACTGGACTGTGATTGGTGTCTGAACTAAGGGGCAGTCTTGCTGGACTTAGGCCTTAACCTGTAGGGCCCTATGCTAAGTCCAAATAGGCTGTCAGAATTGAGTTACATTGCAGGGCACTTAGCTGGTGTCATAACTGTTTGATATGTAGAATAACCCCACGTCTGGTGTCAGAAGTGAAAAGCATGAAAGTAGAGAAACGCAAGCGTGTTCTTTCCTAAACACTCACTCCTCTCTTAACTTCTTTCCCTTAGCCAGCAAAAATGCTAAAATATCTCCTATTCTTAAAAAGATCTGCCTTGTGTCTTGCTTCCCCTCTGGTTTCCACTCTCTCATTCCCTCATTGGACCAACTTCTGTAAAGAAAACTCTACAGCCAGCACCGGTTTGGCTCAGTGGATAGAGCGTCGGCCTGTGGACTGAAAGGTCCCAGGTTCGATTCCGGTCAAGGGCATGTACCTGGGTTGCGGGCACATCCCCAGTAGGAGATGTGCAGGGGGCAGCTGATCGATGTTTCTCTCTCATCGATGTTTCTAACTCTCTATCTCTCTCCCTTCCTCTCTGTAAAAAATCACACACACACACACACACACACATATATTCCTAAACATCACTCCTCTCTTAACTTCTTTCCCTTAGCCAGCAAAAATGCTAAAATATCTCCTATTCTTAAAAAGATCTGCCTTGTGTCTTGCTTCCCCTCTGGTTTCCACTCTCTCATTCCCTCATTGGACCAACTTCTGTAAAGAAAACTCTACACACTCACCTGCAATCTCTCCACAACCCTCCCTGCACCCTGCCCATGAGTGCCCTACTTGAGAACACAGGCAAAAGTTATGTAGTTAATGTAGGAAGTCAGAGAAGTTTTCACAGAGAAGATGATTTTTGAGTTGAGTCTTAAAATATGAATAAGTGAGTTTGCCTGTGGACAGCAAGAACAGGAAATACAAAAGAATGGAGGAATGGAAGAGCACTATGCATTCCAGTGTGCAGATCCTCTGGCTGTGGGGGAAGGCTGGAGATAAAGCGGAGAAGGCAGGCAGTTTCAAGATCCCTCAGAAGATGCAGACATGCTGGAGCAATATGGACCATCTGCTACCACCTGAATTCCCTCCCTCCTGTTCAAGACTGCACTTTAAAATTGTTACAATTGCTTCCCAACTTGTCCCTTACTTTTAAACTCAATTTCTTATCATCACCTGCCTTAATGTTACAAATTCAATAATTAAGCTTCCATTATATGGCTGAGAATTTACCCGTGTATTATAAGAATTGACGTATCTACCTTTCCAAACATCTTATAAACTCTGAAGTAAGAGTTTATCTCCCAGCATAAAGTACACAATAGGTACACAAGAATGCTCACTAACAAAAACAATAAGCAACTGTGCTTACAATAGCTAAAACTTACAGAGTGCTTAAAAGGTAATAAGATACTATGAAATGTACTCCACATACCTTATTTCATTTAATCCTCACAACTCTTTGCTGTAGGTACTACCATTATCCCATTTTACACATAAAGAACTCAAGTTTACATTGCCTTCCAAGAAGGAAAAATCCCCAAATTGGTAAAGATGGCTCAACCTGAACAAAAGAGTTAAAGCCACATTAAAGCCATCGCCCACTATAGTCACAGGGACTATACTGAGGAAGTGGAGGAGAACCCAGCTCACCTTCCCTGGGGCTGTCAGGAACACAGCTGCCATGGCCTGGTTTCTAAGATGGGGCAGGATCCTGGCCACCAGGCTAAGCTGAAAGAGAAAAAATAAAAAATGAAGGTAAGGAGTGAGGCCAGTACACATTTGAACCTCTCTCACTAGGCAACTCTGGGAATTCCACCAGGGCCAATAAACCTCAGCGAACACAAAGTCACTATTTAATGTTGGAATGTGTGACAAAATGAAAGAAGCCACTAGAATAGGGTTTTTTTTAGTAATTTCTGAAGCTAGATCCATTTTCAAAACTAGTCAAAAGAACCTGTGGCCCAGCCCTCCCCTTTTCCCTAGAATATGTTCTGCAGTACCTCATTATAAAAATAGCACTCTGTCAGCAGATGAGTGGATTAAAAACCTGTGGTACATCTACACAGTGGAATACTATGCTGCTGTAAAAAAGAAGGAACGCTTACCATCTGCAAAGCATGGATGGACCTGGTGAGCATTATGCTAAGAGAAATAAGCTGGAGAAAGATAAATATCACATGATCTCACTCAATTGTGGAATATAATGAACAACATTAACTGACGAACGAAAATAGATCCAAAGACACAGAAGTATCAGATAGACCACCTGCCAAACCTCGGAGGGAAGGCAGGGGAGGGTGGGGTGGTGGGGTAAGAGATCAGCCAAAGGACTTGTATCCATGCATATGAGCATGACCAATGGACACAGACCAATGGGAGCAGCAGTTATCAGATTTCAGGCTACCTGTTATACACAAAGAAGTAATCACTGTCAAAAAGAAATTCAGCTTTTCTTCATATGAATATTTTATCCAGCAAGAAACAAACCATAAACACGGAGACTTCAAAACTCAAGGTGTTGAGAAGCTGGGCCCTCAGCAGTTGCTGCTCAGCTTATAAAACCATGTGAGGGGTAGCAGATACACCACCCCAAAGTATGCTCCTTTGGAATGTTGATTATTTTGAGCTGCAGGCACTTAAAAAACAGCAAATGCAAAGACAGGCTTTCTATGAACTGCCTTTATTTTCCTAAAGACAGATCCTCCAAAAGGAACTCAACTGTCACAAATCCCACCCAGGGAGTCTCATCAACCAGGGAAGATTGGCTCTTATCACAGAGAGGAGACTAGAAAACTTTGACACAAACTATCAGACCGCCCATATATTCTTCTAAGAGCCCATTCACCTTTCTAAAAAACCTCTAAAAGGTACATTCTCCATCCCCTTTCCCTATTAAGATGGGAAAAGCCTGAATTCAGGCAATCCAGGAGTTACTCATTTTCCCCTGGGTATTTCCATATATTCATGAGGTACGCATGTTCATAAACTTGTGTTTCTCTTAATCTTTTATTGCAAGGATTTCAGCTAACTCAGAAGGGGAGAGAGAAAATTATTTTTCTCCCCCCTACACATGAATAAAGAAGTACCTTGTTTTCCATTGATTTTTAAATAATATATATTTCTTTATTGATTTCAGAGAGGAAGGGAGGAGAGAGAGATAGAAACATCAATGATGAGAGAGAATCATTGATCGGCTGCCTCCTGCACACCCGCTACTGGAGATGGAGCCCGCAACCCGGGTATGTGCCCTTGGCCAGAATTGAACCTGACACCCTTCAGTCCATAGGCCGAAGCGCTATCCACTGAGCAAACTGGCCAGGGCTCCATTGATATATTTTTTTTAAGAGAGTGGAAGGTACGGGGGAGGAGGCAGGGAAGGAGGGGAGACACATCTATGTCTCTCAGAGATTGGCTGCCTCTCACGTACCACCCCGACCATCCCTGGGGATTGAATCTTCGTGGCCTGACACTGTAACCACTGAGCCACTCTGGCTAGGGCCAAGTTTACTTCTTTGTAGCCGATTGGCTAAGAAGATGCAAAGTCACCCAACATAAGAAAGCTTACCTTTCATTTAAGGACAGAGTGAGCATTTTGGGGGCAATTAGGACAGTTTAAGTTTGGGTTCCCTAGCTATGGGTGAGTGGGCTCGGGCTATACCCAAACTGTGGCCTTCATTTTAGCTTTTTTTTGGTTTTCAACACAAATTCAATATTGTTACCCAGGGAGTACACACGTGATGCGATACAGGTGATTTCTCTTTCTTGTGCTTTTCTGGCTACCCGTGAACCTTGCTCTTCGTGTAAGTGCATTTTAAGGAGAGCCCCTCACACACTGTTCACGTCGCTAAAAACGCGGCGCCTCTTCAGTGGGAAGGCACTCCAGCAACGTCCTGGAGAACGGCTCAGCGCTGGAGAAGGGACCGCATCCTTTTCATGATCTACTGCGGACACTGGACACCTGGAACTCGGAATCTAGAATGCCACTTCACAATGTGAGCCCCTAAACTCTTAATCATATCTCGTTTTCCCTATAACAAAACCAAACCATACCATAGTACCAACCAGGCAATCCATCACCAGACTCAGTTCTCCCTTAACGCTACATAAGTGCCTGCGCAGAACATGCTCAAAAGTTGGCGTCTGCAGGAAGACGCTGGGTCAATGCCCCGTGACTTCCCCATAAAACGGGGGGTGGGGGGCCCGAGCCCTGACACCTTCCGTGGCGGAGCTGCCGTGGCTTCCCCAAGGCACCCACTCCTCCCATCACAGTCGCTTCTTTCTCCCCAAACCTGCTTGGCGCCTGCTCCACGAAGTCCTAGGTGTCTACTGCCAGCGACCACGTGGGCTGGGCTCTCCTCGTGAGGTTCCGGCCCCGCCCCCGGACCTGGTCGGCGACTCCATTAATCCCCAACTGAGGGCCATAACCCGAAAGATTCCCGTGTCTCTCCCTCGCCCACTCGCCCGCCCGGAGTAGAGCAACGGCGCCTGCGGACCTTCTAGGAAACGCGGAGGCTTCGCAACTCTATGGTTGGGCTAATTGTGCCGCGGCCTCAAGTCACAGGCACCCAGCGCCTCTGATCGGGCCAATGTAAATGTTACTCAAAGTATTTAGGGTTTCATTTGGGCTAAGAGGGCTGCTGATTGCAGATAGATCACCCATAGTTCATGGGTCAGTAGCAGCAGCAGCAACACCTGGAATCTTGTAGCTTCTCAGTTTGATAATCATATTGTGCAAAAGTGACAATATTGGAGACTCGGGGGGCCTTAAACTCAGGTACAGTTTCCCTATCAAGCTTTGAAGTTACATGGAGGAGGGGCTGAAGAGCTATAGTAAGACATTAGGATGGAAAGAGAGGAATTTTTCAGTCTCCCATTACATGTAAGATAAAGACCACGATGGGGAGGAGATCAGTAATTGTAAGTCCTACAAGTTATAGTTTCTATTGCTACTGTTTAAGCTCACTGATCCTTTCAGGTATTGGGGTGTGTGTGTGTGTGTGTGTGTGTGTGTAATTTTTTATTTATTTCAGAGAGGGAGAGGTGAAGAGAGAAACATCAGCGATGAGACAGAATCATTGATTGGCTGCCTCCTGCATGCCCCATACTGGGGATGGAGCCAGCAACCCCCGCATGTGCTCTGATTGGGAATCAAATCATGATCTCCTGGTTCATAGGTCGACCATGCTGGTCAGGCTGTTGGGGTTTTTTAATCTTCAGAAGCTCCATTAATTTTTTTTTTACCTTGTATTTTTCTGTTCATGCTTGTTTTAAATCCTTGAACATATTCAATTAATTGTTTTAAAGTCCTTGTCTCCTAATTGCATAACTAGGGTCATTTCTGAATCTGTTCCTAAGGACTGATTATTTTCCTGGTTTAAGATTACACTTTCCTGCTTCTTTACATAGCTATTCTTTTTTTATTGGTTAGGAAAGTGATAGATCCTCTCTTCCCCCAGCTGGTGGGTGGAGTAACAGCAAACATAATCTGCAGCCCAGAAACACCTGAGTGCCCAACCACGTACCTTATATGGACTATACATTAAGCCACGAATCAGCACCTGCCAAATACCCTAAGCCAGCGGTTCTCAACCTGTGGGTCGCGACCATTGGAAAACACATATAGCATATCAGATATTTACATTACAACTCATAACAGTAGCAAAATTACAGTTATGAAGTAGCAATGAAAATAATTTTATGGTTGGGGGTTGCAGCATTAGGAAGGTTGAGAACCACAAAGCCCTTGTTTCTAAGTACCTGAGTGCCTAACTATGTACCTTATATGGACCATACATTAAGCCACCAATCAGCGTGAGCCGAGTACCCTAAGCCCCCATTCCTTCTTATTCCTCCCCTCAAAAGGGGTGCTCACATCTGCACGGGTTGCTGCTCTCCCCTTGCGAGACAGCCCTGAAGGCTTTTCTCCCAATAAAGCCTGTAATACCTGGTTTTCGGTTCCTGACGGATCTTTCAGAAAGAATTCAGAGACAAGACCCAAACTGTAAGAGGACATTTATTTGGTAAATCAAGAGGTAGAAAAAGTAAATCCTAGAAGAAATGGACTTAGGAAGACAAGTAATGGAGGTAAAAGAAGGGTCCATGGAGCCTAGGAGTGAGTAAGGTAATGGTAATGTGCCTGGGGCAGGGAGGGGGTGGGGAAAAGGAAAGGGAAAGCAACTGGTGTGCTCTGGGGAGGAAGAGAGCACTGGGTCCTCCCTAAGACATTTAAGGTCAATATTTTAGGGGAGATCCCAGGGGGAAGATCTCAATAGAATATTCAGCAGTTATCCAGGTGTGTCTTTTCAGGGTTGTGGTCGCTACTGATTGATTGGCTGGCACCAGGGAGTCATTCTTCAAAGCAGATAGTCCTGACATCAGCCGTGGCCGGTTTTGCTGCTTATCTGGGCCTGGAGCTAAAATACAACTGAGGCACAGATGTTATCTCTAGGGAGGAAAGGTCGGGAAGTCCAAACTGAATATCCAGCCATATGCTAGGGGAAGGAAAAGTCACCCTGGGGGCTTTCTACCCTGGTGACCGTCTGTCCCTGGCCCATGCTCCTTTCTCTACTCATGGCTAACTGCCTACTGTATTTTCACACACATTGTGTTTCATTTAATTCCTAGCACAAGGATGCCAAGTAAGCAAGCATTTACATCCCTATTTTACAGCGAAGGAAACTGAGATTCAGAGCATCAAGTCACACCCAAGTCAGAATTGCTTAACCAGCAATGGTGAACGTAGCCTTTACACACACACACACACACACACACACACACACACGCACACGCACACAGGGTCATGTGAACCCTAGGGTCTTCCATACCCAGCCCAGAGCTGGAACCCTTAGGGGTACTCTTGGATCAAACCTACTTGTAATACTTGTAACTTATTATTATTTTTTTAATATATATTTTATTGATTTTTTTACAGAGAAGAAGGGGGAGAGAGAGAGAGAGTTAGACATATCGATGAGAGAGAAATATTGAGAGAGATTACGGCTCTACTAGTAATTTAAACTTGGGTGAACACTTTTCCTGGTGACTGGTAATTCCTTAAGAACCGGAGCTCACCTCCCATCCAGTCCAGCTGGGAGGAAGGATCTTGATAGGCTCAAGGTGACAGTGAGAAAGCCAGGACAGTCTTTTCCTTCCGCTTCCTGTTTCCTGATTCCCTCCCAGGATGGAGAGCTGGGCTGGGCCCTTCTCTCCCTGCTCCGCCCCCAACGGAGGGGGCCTGGGCGCGCTGCTCTCCAGCGGCTTTGCCCTTCATTCCGCGGAGCGCTGGCAGCCCCAGCGGAGCCTCAGTCCCGACCTGCTTCCCGTGAGTCTCTGCTCTTTACGACCCCACGCCGGGGCGCGTGCGCCTTACCCAGCAGTCCTTGCGCGGCCCCACCAAGCGGACACCCCGGACTCCAAGATGGCGTCAGTCGGTAAGCACGGAGAGCCGGTAGGGCCTGTCAGGTTGGAAGCTCGCGCCGGTCCGGGGCTTACAGACGCCCTGGGCGGGGAGGGAGCTGCGGAGCGCCTGCCTTCGCTGCGGACTTCGCCGCGACCTCACCCGACGCGCACCGGACCCTTTGCAAGGGTCCTGCGCTGCCCGACCGTTCTCTGCTCTCCGGCCGCACCTCCGGGCTGTGGCAGGGAGGGCGAGGGCAGCCGGGCAACGCGCCTCTGGGCTTGGGAACGCGCCGCCTCAGGACTCCCTCCCTCTCCTCTCCTCTCCTCGCTAAGGAATAGCTGCTCTCGTCCCCGCCGCGACCCCGGCGCTTTGCACTGGAACCCTATGTGCAGATAGTTGTTTCCAAAGGTGAAACTCAAATGAAGCTCCAGGAGAAGTTGAATGCCTAGGACAGTACCTAACACAATGAAAGGTTAGAGTTAGACGCATATACGTTGACTATGCGCTGAATAGGCTCGCGAAGGTGAAGTGACTACTCAAGGTCACAGCTAGTGAGAGGACTGAGCGGGATTCACACCTACGAGTTTGGGGCCTTGAACCACAGGATGATCTGAGGACTGGCAGGCTTTTCGGTGGCATATATGAGTGAATCTCTACACGCATGGGACTGTGCACACTTTTTCTTTTTTTAAATAGTAGGGTAACCATGGATAAGCTCTAGATCCTCACGTTAGCCTTTTCAAGAAGTCACTGCCAGGAATGTTGATCCCATGTGGTGTGGCCTGCCCGAGATCACAGCATGACATAGGCAGAGTTTTGATGAACTTATGTGTGTCTTACCCCAGTTTCTATATTCTTAATCTCAGCCTGGAGGAATGAAGAGGGAATCAGAAAAGATGAATGATGCTGTTTTTGCCATCTGTGAAAACGGGCACGAGCATATTTATCCATAGGTGGTTTTGTTGTTTAAATAAGACAGCATGTGAAAAGGAAGCATTGAGACTTCGCATCTTATTTAAGCAGAGGGTTGACCTGAATAGCACTGTGGACTAAGGATTTAACAACTTAGTACATGGAAGGTACCTGGAATACTGCCTGGGGCACAGGCACGTGATGCTCATCCCAGCTTAAACTCTGACTTTTGGGCTTGGTCCTGTCACATCTGGCCCATTCAGCATCACCCTAGGGAAGAGAATTGGAGTCCAAAGTCTCTTAAATAATGGTGATCTTGTAGATGATATCTGTTGCCAGAGCATAAAGCCATTAGCAAATAAAGTGATAAAAATATGAATGAATAACAATAGATGAGAACAGGGCTTGGCAAACTATGGCAAATAGGCTGGATTTCCTGGGGTCTGTTTTTGTCTGTGAGCTAAAAATGGTTTTTATGTTTAGAAAAAAAATGTGTTAGAGTCCTTGTGTGGCCTGCAAAGCCTAAACTCTACTCTCTGGCAAACCTCTGGTTTGGATTTAGTACCTAGAAGACACTTGGCATTTCCATGCCTCTTCATATAAATGAACAATATGCTTCTTGAAGTCATAAAATCAGGCCGTACTTGTGGTCCTTACACAGTCTTCACTGAAAGTCTGTCATGACCAGGAACTGTGTGTGGGTGCTCCCACCTTCAGATAGCTCATAGACGGAAAGACAAATAATAATAATTCCCGTTTACACAGTATCTAAGCCAAGCACCAAGGTGGGCACTATTCTTATCCTTATTTTACAAAGGAGGAAACAGGCACAGAGAGGGCAGTAACTTGCTCAAGCTACAAAGTGGCACAAAACTCAGAATACTGAATTCTAGAGTCTGCTCTGTAATCACCACACTCTACTGGTGTGAACCAGCGGCTGCAGAGGGATGTGTAGCACTGCACAGCAGTGTTGAGGGAGAGTTCCAGTATGGCTGCCAAGGACTGAGGCCTTTGTCTTCTGCTAAAAGAGAAATTCTGCCCTGGCCGGTTTGGCTCAGTGGATAGAGTGTCGACCTACGGACTGAAGGGTCCCAGGTTCAATTCCAGTCAAGGGCACATGCCTGGGTTGTGGGCTTGATCCGCAGATGATTCTCATCATTGATGTTTCTGTCTCTCTCTCCCTCTCCCTTCCTCTCTGAAATCAATAAAAATATTTTTAAAGCCAAAGCCGGGTTGGCTCAGCGGATAGAGCGTCGGCCTGCGGACTGAAGGGTCCCAGGTTCGATTCCGGTCAGGGGCATGTACCTGGGTTGTGGGCACTTCCCCAGTGGGGGATGTGCAGGAGGCAGCTGATCGATGTTTCTCTCTCATCGATGTTTCTAACTCTCTATCTCTTACCTTCCTCTCTGTAAAAAATCAATAAAATATATTTTTTTAAAAAAAAGAAGGAACTCTTAAAAAAATATTTTTAAAAAATTTTCAGGGATTAAGAACAAAAAATAATAAAAATAAAAGAAATTCTTTTTCCCTCACCTGAGGATATTTTTCTATTGATTTTTTAGAGAGAGTAGAAGAAAGAGGGAGAGACAGAAAGAAACATCCATGTACCTGCAACCGAGGTACATACCTTTGAGTGGAATCGAACCTTGGACTCTTCAGTCCGGTGGCTGATGCTGTATCCACTGAGCCAAACCAGCTAGGGCTAAAAAAGAAATTCTTGGAATAAGTGTATACTTATCTCTAATGAATCTGATTGCCTCTTGGAGTTTTGTGATGGGGGTTGTACTTGTTCTTAAAACTAATGTAATTTTGCCCTACCTGGTTTGGCTCAGTGGATGGAGTGACAGCCTGCGGATTGAAGGGTCCCAGGTTCGATTCCAGGTTGTAGGCTCGATCTCCAGTAGGGGGCGTGCAGGAGGCAGCTGATCAATAATTCTCTCTCATCATTGATATTTCTATTTCTCCTCCCTTCCTCGCTGAAATCAATAAAAATATATTTTTAAAAAATGCATGTATTTTTTTTCCCCTGTGCTTCTACATTTCTTAATTTTGGTTAAGTAAATGCTCTTGTCTTTATATTACAGAGATATAAATATGTATAAATTGTTGGCTTTTTTCCTCCTCTAATGTGCCAAGGCACCATTCCAATTTCTGAATGTGGTCCTGAGAATGCAGAATGTGTTTTCATAGTTTGTGTGAGTATGAAAAAGATAGCTGCAGTGGGCCTAAAAGTGGCCTTTTTTTTTGAGCCATCCACCTTATAGTTGTCAAAAACATTTTGATTTAAAATAGTTATTTGAATATTTCCCCAACATAGTTCTATTTTTGAAAGCACTTTTTAACTTTTATTATGGCAGATTTAAAATAAAAAGGGAACAGAATAATGTAAGGAGCACTTTGTACTCATACCCTGTGTCAGCTATTAGCAACATTGTGCTATTCTAGTTCCATCTATACCTTCATCACCACTCCCCACCACAACGCCATATTTAAAGCCAGAGTTGGTTTTAGAATGATGTTTGTACTCCTTGCTGCATGCACGAAGGCTTTGAGAGTGTATTAAAGGTATTACTGTGTTCTTATTCAAGAAGAAATGTGATATAGTATTCCTTGGACTAAAAGCCTACCTATTCAAGTAAAGATAAACCTGGAATGTAAGATGTGTACTTATTAAACTTTCCTAAAAATAGCACAACAGGGTGACAGGGAAAGGTATAGGTAATTTTTGGAGAACATTGTTTGGTGTCGAGTTTAATATCTGTGACACTGAACTCTCCAACAGAGATTTGGAACATATCTTAACATTCATTTGAGACCATCTAACATTTCAAAAATTAAACTAATTTTTGTAAAAAAATTAAAAAAAACCTAAACAGTGAGATTAATCCCTGAAACCCCGTGTCGTTAAAATATCCTAAAGTTTGGTTTACTGTATGTGCATTTCCCTCTACCCTTATTCTTTTAAAAAAATATATTGATTTTTTACAGAAAGGAAGGGAGAGGGATAGAAGTTAGAAACATCAATGAGAGAGAAACATCGATCAGCTGCCTCCTGCATACCCCCTACTGGGGATGTGCCCGCAACCAAGGTACATGCCCTTGACTGGAATCGAACCTGGGACCCTTCAGTCTGCAGGCTGACACTTCATCCACTGAGCCAAACCGGTTATGGCTGAATTTCTTCTTATACATTGTTTCTAAAATATATGTATGTTGATTCTTTTTTTAAAAAAATATATATTTTAGTGATATTTTACAGAGAGGAAGGGAGAGGGATAGAGGGTTAGAAACATCGATGAGAGGGAAACATCGATCAGCTGCTTCCTGCACACCCCCTACTGGAGATGTGCCCGCAACCAAGGTACATGCCCTTGACCGGAATCGAACCTGGGACCCTTCAGTCCGCAGGCCGACGCTCTATCCACTGAGCCAAACCAGTCAGGGATGTATGTTGATTCTTTTAAAAAATATATATTTTTATTGATTTCAGAGAGGGAGAGAGAGATAGAAACATCGATGAGAGAGAAATCAATCAGCTGCCTCCTGCACACCCCCTACTGGGGATGTGCCCCAAGATACATGCCCTTGGCCGGAATCGAACCTGGGACCCTTCAGTCCGCAGGCTGACACTCCATCCACTGAGCCAAACCAGTTAGGGCAACCCTTATTCTTTTAAAAAAATGTTTCATGTAAACCTTAATGAGATTTTAATAGTAATAATAACAGTTTACAATTCTGAGCACTATTCCAAATGCTTTTGTACAGATTTTCATTTAATCCTTGTAATAAACCATTACAGATGAGGAAATTAGCTCATTGATTATATAGAAACAAAGTGCTGGCATTTGAGATAAAGAGGGCAGGGAAGAGGCCTCTTAGGAGATGATATTTAAGTTGAGATAGCTCTGTGATGAACCAGGGGCACTGCAAGTGCAAAGGCATCAGTGAAAATAATTATGTTATGAGAAACAGAAACGGTTTTGTATGGTGAGCCCAGGAAGATGGGTGTATATGAAGTGGTTGTCTTACTCCATAGAGTGTTGGCTCCTGAGAGCAAGTCTCTCGTCTGCAGTCAGTACTGTATTCATAGTGCTTGGTGTGCTACCTGGCATATGGTAGGTGTTCCATATTTGTTGGATGAATCTAGGTGGAAGGTTGGGGCAGTTTGGGACAGGTAGCCTAAACCGCAACCCTTAAACCATGTATGCAAGTCACGGGCTTATGCCTCCATCTGTCACTAGTCTGTTGTGACAAGCCTGCGTCTGATCCGTCAATGCCAGGGTCCGCTTCTCCAGACGACCTGTAGCAGATCTGAAGCTGCCGCTAAGCCTTGTATTTCTCTTTATGGCCTGACAGCCCTTGCCCTTGTTAAGGGTTGGGAGGTGTTAGGAAGCCTGTGGGATTCCCTCAGTGGACTCTTGAGGCTGGTCTTCGGGGAGCATTCGTCTTTCCTTGGATCCCCAAAATGGAAAAGAAACTTTGGAATGATTTAGTCTGGCTTCTGTGGCTGGTCATTAAGAAGGAACTTTAGTCCTTGACTCCTTGCTCCGAAGGCAACTTTTTAGAGTTGATCTCTGGCTGCCCTGCAGGTGCTGGATCTGCTGGCACCACAGACATTGGGGCACAGAGGAAGTGGCTGTTTCTACACTCAGTGCTCAGAACAGTGGGCACTAAAAATAGTTTATAGCCTGACAGTCCTAGTGCGCCCGGCCAGCATGCATTTGTGTTCATGTGTGCAGCAGTCTGACCTGTGTCCCGGCTTACAGTTGGGGACCTCAGGTTAGATCCTAAGCACTTTGCTTTTCTTTTTCCTCTGGGTGATGAGGCTGTTCTGGGGGCTTAGTGAGGTGGGTGGGACTGACCGGCACAGGGTCTCCTGCCTGGAAATTTGTTCACAGGGCTGGGCCGGGGGCTTCTTAGCAACAGTCCTTGGGCAGGTGTGCAAATCCTCAGCTAAGAACCATATGTTGGTGTGAGCTCCCTGTGGCCCTGGGTGGGCAATCGGAGCCACCTCGCACATGAGCACCCACACTCTAAGGACTCCGAGACAAGCAGAGCACTTTCAGGAGCAGGAGGGGCTTGGTCAGTTTGAGCCAGGTGGGCTGCCAGAGGTTCACTCCCTGCATTTCTCTGTCCAAGAGTTGGGAGTTGGGACCCACCTGGATTCCCCTCAGTGGGCTGATAACTGCAAATGATCGTCCCAGCCAGGGCACTGGGTAGAGAAGGGGCTGTAGATAACCCCACTGGGATGGCAGGTGTAACCCACTGTCCTTGTCCCCTTGCAGAAAAAAATAAAAAAATAATAATAAAGTTGACCTCTGGAGGAGCATGGGGGAAGGGAAATCTGCGTCTGAACACTTGCAGCTCCACCCCCCTCCCAAGTCCCCTTTCTATTTTACTCTTAAGCCCAGGGATGAGTATAGTACAGCCTCAACTAGAAACCCTTTCTGTCCAGTCTTCAGACTCATTGAAATATAATCTGGGGCCTGTTGGATCATTTGGAGTGGTTTTTACTATCATTTGGCATCTGTGGTCCCAGGTAGGATACTTGTAGTAGAAATGAAACTCGCTTCAGGAGTAGGGGGGCCAGACCTGAAGTTGAATCCTGCCTCCACTGCCTGCATGCTGTGTGACTTTGGTCACCTTCTCAGAGTTACACCGCCCCCCCCCACCCTTATAAATTAAGGCATCAACTACTTGTTTCAAAGATTAAATGAGCTAAAATATGTAAAGTAAATACTAGTTTTGCAGTAATCTTTCTATTCTGTCCTCTACTTTCTTCCTTGCGGCCCTTAGTTCTCTTTTTACATAGTTACTCCCAGCAAGCTGTTATTCAAAATCCTGTTTATTAATAAATCTGTCACTACAGCAGTTCTGCCATTATATGGACTATGGCTTAAAATAGTGAATTTGGTGTGACATATTTATTCATATTACTTATGTCCAGCCTCTATGTAGTAATGTTATCAAATATCCCTTTATTGAATGGTTGAAATGAGTGACATAAAAGGATGCTATTTGTATTATTTGGAGATTTTTCAGTATGTATTTTTGCTTTTCCTAATCAGTGCCACTGAAGGAGAAGAGACTGATGGAAGTCAAATTAGGGGAGTTGCCAAGCTGGATAATGATGCGAGATTTCACCCCTAAAGGCATTGCTGGAGCATTTCAAAGAGGTCAGAGCCTTTTGGATATGTGTAAACAAAAACAAATCTCTGGTTCTTCAGATTTCTTTTTCCTGAATTAATTTGGGTGGTAAAGGCCTTGTCTCAGACCAGTAAGTTATGTAGATGATAGGGAGAGGTCGTTGTTAGCTTTTGAATTTCATGTTTGGTCCTGTCAAAGACTGGCTCTGAGATATTTTAGCCAAGAAAACATTTTCTGTTGCTTGAGATCAGTACCATTGCTTTCATCTTAGAGCAATGTCTGTGAGCATTTTCACATTATTAGACTTAAGAAAAAAATGGGTGAAGCATAGTGGACCTCAGTCTAAAGTATAATGCTCATCTTCCTGCCAAGCAAAACTTCCATGATGAATATTTGAAATGGTCTGTCCTTCATGTCTGCATTTTAAAGTGCACAGCTAGTCAGATCAGTCCTGTGGAACCCATGTCATGTTCCAAGACTAAAGACCCACGTTATGCATGGTCTCCAGCTTCTCAGGGGCTTCCCTCTGTGTTTTTCTAATACTGACTTCCCTGTGGCTGTCTTTTCTGTGCCATCTTTCCTCCTGCCCTGAGGCCTTTCCTCAATTTTGCCCTCAGATTAGAACTCTACCTTTTCCCTATAGTTACAGCGTCCCTCACTGTTATAAACTGTGGCCTTCTATGATCATTTCAGTCTTTTTCTATCTACTAGGCCATGAGCCCCAACAAGGCAGATATGGTTTGTCCCCTCACTGATGGGAGCACCTAATAGAGAAGCGCACAAAGCCTTCCCTGAGTGGCCCTTACTGGGGATTGGATTCTCAGTCAGAATTAGGGTAAGGGTTTCCCAAGGCTGGAGGTGAGGGTGAGGTAGGATCAAAGGCCGACAGGCTAAACCAAATCTACAAGATCAGGGCCAGAGGGTAGGGGCAGAATGAAGGTGGGCCTAGCTGGAGCTTCTCCTGGGCTTGTGGGGACCCAAGACTCGGTGGGGGCATTTATGTTTTTCCCTTTATGAACCCGAGAATCTACGTAGGGTCAGTGGCTTAAAGAGCTAGAGCAGGACTGGGTCCCCGAATTAAGCCAGATTCGATTTTGCACTGCATGAAGCAGTCATAGCAAAGCAATGATCTTCTCTTCTGTTTGCAGGTTACCACAGGTATTACAACAAGTACATCAATGTGAAGAAAGGAGGTGTTGCTGGGGTTTCTATGGTGCTGGCAGCTTATGTGATTTTCAACTACTGCCGTTCTTATAAGGAACTAAGTAAGTGTCTTTGGTTACCTTGCCTTCAGTGGGGTTTCCCATGAGAGGGTAGCATTGGCTCACTGTCAGATTTAGTCCATTATTCTACTGACAGCTGAAGAATTGGAGGGACTTGTCAGAATATAGTTTTTAGGACTTTGAGAAAATTGTGGCAAAGAGAAAATACACAGGAAAAGATGAAGCTGGGGTTAAGGTAATACTTAGAAAGCATTGTATAAGATACTGCAGGCTCTGCCAAAGGTTGATGGAAAATTTGGCTTCATTTTCCTAGCAGCCCAAGCAGAGGGAAGTTGAGTGGTACAATCTGGGCAGTGCTCTGGAGAAGTGTAGCTGTTCCTGAGATCCAAGAGGAGCTTGTCCAGTGGGAGATGCCAGAAAGTGTCATTGGTGACTGGGTTTCATGGCTGTTTGATAGTGCCCAGCCCCGTCTGTGGCATCTGGGGTGATGCTGGCTCCAAAGGAGTGGACAGGTTCTTGGGGGCTATTATCTGAGTGGGCGTTCTTCTGGGAAGGAAGAGGCTGGCCAGGGAGCAGATGAGCACCTGACCTCATGTCCTCAGGTCAGCAGTTCCACTGAGACCCCGACAGGCAGGTTCTAGGTTATTTTCTGAAAGGAATTCTCAGGATGGCTTTATGATTTTAGCTCGATGCTTCCCCTCTGGTCTTGTGCTTTCCCTGTACCTTTGAAGAAATTTACTTTTGACTTTCTAACTTCAGAGCATGAGCGACGACGCAAGTACCACTGAAGAGGGCCCAGTGTGGACTCCACATTCCTGACCATGACCTTTGCCCAGCACCTCTGAATCCTTTCATATTGTAATGTAACACCTAATAAAAGGTGGCTGGTACTGGGCTGCTTCACTGGTTTGGCCATTTCCCTCACTTCAGGTCCCTTGCACAAGGTGGGACAAGATTGCCTTACCACTCCCGAAGGGGGACTGTCAGCGCAGGGCATCAAATCATGAAGCCTTGGTGGACACCCACATCACTGGGATTTTGCCCCAGCTCACTAGGGGGGTCTGTTAGCAGTACCCTGAGCATTTTTGGCCTTTTGTCACCTAACTGCTATAGTGTAAAGCAGAAGTCCTGTATTCCTAAGAATGCCTTCCCCACCATTTCTTCATTACTCCTGGGTATGTGCTTGATGGAAGCTTAGTGGGATGATCTAAGGGAGGGAAAACACGGGCCCTGAGAGCCCATATACAGCACTTTTCCTTACCTTTATCAAAGGCCTCAGTAAAGTGATGTGAAGGCCAGATTGGTTTCTTGTTAAGGGGCCTATGGTGAGCCTATATACTGCATGGAGTATAAGGGGGTGAGATGCTGTGGCTCATTTTCTCCTAGACCTGAATTTGAATAAATACCATCCAACATTTGAGATGAAGTAAGGAGACCTACCAGTAAAAAGACCTTTCACCGGCAGCATCACTTCACTTCTGAAGTCATTTGTTGAAAGGAGATAAGCAGGCACCAATGTCAAAGCTTTGAGCCAGGCAGCTAGTGGATCAGCCAATAGCAAGATCCTCTCCTTGGCATGGAGTCTGAAGCAATGAGACACAACTTAAAAAACAAGCTTTAATCAACCTCATAAAAATTGTTCTTATAATTGAACTTGGATAGGTCCCCTTGCCCAGCAAGTTCCAGGTGATAGTTTCACATTTCCAGGCTTAAGATGGTCTCCATAGGCCAAAAGGTGTCTGAGTGACAGTACAGATGCTTGAGGGGCAGGAGGTAGGTGCACAGGTGGATCATGTCACCCCTTTAAGGGTGGCCTGTAGCTCAGCTTCAGGCATACCTTAAGCACTGTTAAGCATGTGCCCCAAGAAAATAAGCCTAGAGGAAAAAGACCCTCACACTTGAGAGCCCTGCACCCCTCCTCAATTGCTGCCACCTTGGAACAGGACCAGGCTGAGGCAACAAGCCCACTTGAGTTTGCCCTGAAGGGCTGCCTCGTTCAAATCACATTGATAGGCACAGCTTCTGAAT